TGTTGTGGTTTTCTATCCCAGGCTTTTCCTAGTTACATGCACGTTAATTGCTTTAGTCACCCGTCTTCATTTGACCTTTCCTTGGCTTCTCAACTTTCTTGAAGCTGTGATCCAGTGTTCATCTTTACTTCTCACCTCGTTGTTCAGTCTGTTGTGGTTTTCTATCCCAGATTTTCCTAGTTACATGTGCATTAATTGCTTTAGTCACCCCTCTTCATTTGACCTTTCCTTGGCTTCTCAGCTTTCTTGATATGCGTGTGTTGATTTGGACTCATAGGAGCACAAAGTGCATTAGGTACAAGGAATGACAAAATAAGCAGAAATCCCTCAATGTGGAAGAGAGGCAGCTGGGGAGGAGATGTGTTGGAGATCTATAAAATCATGAATGTCATGGAAATGGTGGATAGTGATTGATTGTTCCGTATCTCTCCGCAGAAGAACCAGGAGACTTGTGAATCTGAGAGGAGGAGGGAGGTGATTTGCTGAGCTGTGGGTTTCATGCTCGGGAATTCTTCCTGCAGACTGGTGTGAGTGTCAGAAGTCTATGGGTGGTAAAGGGACAAATACACAGGCTTGTGGGGAAAAAAACGCTGCTGATGGTTACTAAGTACAGAGAATCCCTTTGGCTCAGGAAGTCTTGGCACTGCAAACTTTTGGAACCTGAAAGGAAGTTCTTGGGAGGTTGTTTCTCTATGCTTGCCCCATCCTTTTATTCTTCCCCGCACATCTGCTTTGGGTTCCTTTTGGAGACATGCTACTGCATTGGCAAGCTGGATTTGGCCCAATAGTGTGCTGTTATTCTCTTAGTAGAACTTTGCAATAAAATAATGAAAGCTTTTAAGCATGACCAAGCATGTTTCTTCTTCTAAATCCCTCTTTAGCATTTTATCTGAGTTCTTTTTATGATTCAGGTCCAACAAACTTGATCTACCTTATCACTTTAGCATTTTATCTGAGTTCTTTTTATGTCTCGGGTCCAACAAACTTGATCTACCTTATCGTTATGGAAATCTTCAAGTTCAAAGCTCACGTTTTGTGAATGTGTAAGAACTTTCCTCCAACAGTGTAAAGTAGTGGCGGTTTCAGATGCATGTTGCTGCTGTCCTTTTTGTAGCAATATAGTGCCTGGTTACTGTGGGCATGGACTTGGGACTTCTTCAGCATAGGGTAGTCATATAGCGTATGCTATATAGTTAGCACATACTAAAATGGTAGCGTAGGCTAAAGAGAAAGCACAAAACCGCAGTACTGTTCTCTAAGGTAGACATTGGGCTATGTATACTGCTTATCCCAAGCATTGCCAATCTGTCAGGGTTTTGAAGAATGATGAAGTAGATGCCAGGTGTTTAGAGGCAGCTCATCATGAAATATGAGGGGTTTTTTATCCAGTTTTGTCTTTCATAAGTAGAGAATCCCCAGTGTATTCACATTGTCCTCTGTTGGTACATAAATATATTTGAGCGTTTTTTTCTCCACATATGTCCATTGTAGGGTGAGCATCCATCTTGAGAATTTTTGTCTACCTTGTCATTTCAATCCATGCATGTTTCTTGGCACTTTTCTCATGCATTGTACCACAAATGTTTAAAAAAAAAAACCCCAAACAAAAAACTGAAAAAACAATGCATAACCAGCCAAACAAACAAACAAAACCACCGAAAAAATCCCCACCAAAAAATCAAACCAAACACCCCCACCCCCTTCAAACAAACAAAATCAACCACACCAAAAAACCAAATCAGAACAAACTGCAGCTTACCTTTCTTGTTTTCTGATATTGAACGCTGTAACGTGCATCCTTAGCATAACTACAGTTATTCTGGTTTTCGTTCATTCCTGTTTTGAACTTGAGATAGGCTTAAAGTGCAAAAGTGAATATAGACTTTCCATCTTTCTTCGCATCTTCATCAGTAAGGGATCCTTCTATATCTGATTGTTCAGGCTTTAAAAATGGGGTTGTCAGTTATTCTAATTGATCTCCTATGACTAATGTAGTTACCACAACTTTTCCAAACATCTGCAAGCTTGTCTCTTCTCTCTCCACTCTGACTATTTGTCTTCAGAATGTATAACTCTCTGGCCCAGAAAGATCATTTCCTAGATGTTTGTGCCCTCACAGATAATAACAGGTTCACAAGCTCTCCTTGTCAATTTTTTCCTAAATAGTAGCATTTGATTTTTTTGGTGAGCAGGTGCATGGCTGTTGAGCTGTTCACCTAATGAAAATTTCGAATCTTTTGCTCCCTTCAAGAAAGGCAAGAGACTTGGAGGAAGTCCTTAGGCAATGTTCCTGAGGACATGATTTTCCTGAGACCATACCTGAAAAGTCTGTACAAGATAATTCCTGAGCTGTGGGTTAATCAGGCTTTATTGATGTGTCCCTGCGGCACTTCGTAATCATGGAGAGACTAGTTTACTTACTCAAATCTCATTTCAAGGACATTGCTGAACAGATAATTCACTCATTTGCTTTGCGGAGAGCGTGAAGGGTAATGCTAGCTCCTTTAAAATTTTAAAAGTGTGTATCTTGGTCAATCTAACCTATTTAGCTGTGAATTATGTATGATAGTGTTCTATGACAGTGATCCATGCAGCTTGAATGACCTCTTAAAAAACTCAAATCCTGACACCTGCAAGGCAATAGAGTGTCTGTAGGGGAAGAGATTGATGTACATTTAAAGTCATGATAGTACCATGACATGTTACTAGACATCAGCAAAATTAGTTGCAGGCTTAACATACAATATTAGTCTCATACCCTGCTTTGTCTCTGCCTTTGGTCCTTTCCTCAACCCCGGCTATGCTGCTTGCACAGCCTCTCGAGTGGTGGTGGTGAATGGGAGCGTCTGGCGTTGCCATGTGGTTTTTCTTGCTGGTTGGTAGCACATCTCTGTGCCTTCTGTGGAAGCATGGTAGGAGGCCTCTCCCATGGGTTTAGCTAGTATCCATGGGCTCCAGTAGGTACTTGCTAGGAGAAATGACAGTTACGGTATCTCCAGTATCACTCTATCTTGCCGTTCTGATATGAGGCAAGTTACCCAGGGACTGGCTCCAGCTCTGCAGAAAAATGAGATTGGCTTGGAAGCAGGGAGTTAGGAAGGTACAATGAGGGATAGCCCAAAGCCCAAGGACAAGAAGATTTAATATTATCATGATTATTTTTTTGGTATTGCAGAAGATTCAAGTGGTGTTGTCCCTTGGGTCTTGATAAAATAGTCTCTACTAAAAACGATTTAAAAGATAGAGAACTAATCTACCCCTTGGAATCCAGCTGGTTTGGAATTGAGGCGCACTAGCACTTGAATTAAAGGTAATTACTGGTACATTAACTGGCGTTCTTCGAGATGACATGCATTATGTGATGGGGAAATAAAGAGAAGTTAGTTCCAAAAACTTTTAAGCTTGGGGCAGTGTATGAGGAGAGCTGGAACTTGTGGGTGAACAAAATGAGTCGCACGGCCGAAGTTTCCCGGTGCCCAGCTCTCTGAATACCTGCTTCAGTCTGCGGTGTAGTACAGCTCGAGGTAATGCGTTGTGGAGAACCTTGGTTGAGAAGATAAGGCACTCTGCATATATTTATTTAACTTAATAAAATGAATTTATTTTAGGAAGCTGAAAAATAAGAAACTTTTATATATCTGCAAAAATGCCTTTAGGCTTTTTTCCTTTAAAAAAAAATACAGAAGCATGTTGGTTCTGACTCTTTTTTTAAAGTAGGAAAAAATAAGAAAATGAAATATATTTTCAGATTACTTTATACAACCATACACTTATTTTCCTTTTATGAAACATTTTGGTGGCTTTCGAGATGAATGTGTTGTCAGATTTTCACTAGAGAATAATTACCAGGCAATGGACAACTGCTGAGGGAAGCTGTTAATCAGAGAGTGTATATGAAGTGCCAAGACACGACTTTCTTTTCCTTGGTTGACATTTAAGCCTCATGAAATCTGTCCTGCCATGTTGCATGAGGGTGAGCTGACTAACTCCCTTACAGTTAGATTCTGGTGTAACTGTAGAAGAATTGTTTGGTATTTCTGCCCTTTTTTTTTTTTTTCAGACATTAAAAAAAAATATTTAATGAGTTAGCGATTTGGTAACAAAAGAATAATACAATGTAGTAATTTTAAGTGAATTTTTATACTTATGCTGAATTAAATTGGCTTTTTTTTTTTTTGCTGGAGTTGACTGAAATTTAGCATCTGTCTTTTAGGACTACATAGTGAAGTAAGAGATACTAAATTGTCCCTGTGCCTCCTTACCTTGGGGTATAAGTTCCACTGTGTTGCTGTCACTTCTTTAATCTGTTTTCCTAAGGAAGGGAGGCCTGTGTGACAAAACTGGACGGTTTGGTTTTTTTTTTTTTCCTTTCCACCTTAATTATATTTAAGATCTTTACTTTCCTGACCTGATTTGACCTCGGGCATCAGGTTTCGAAGTTAAATGAATTCTTATAAATTTTGTTTAAAGATGAGACAACCCCTCACCCCTAAAACCAACATCCCCACAAAAACCCTAGGCAGGAAAGAGGAGTGTTATTAAACTCCGTCAGCCAGGGAAAGGAATGTAATATGCTTCCTCCTTTTGAACACCAAAGTCTCTGCACTTCATTGGCTCAACTGCTCATGGAGAGGTCTTGCTTGCCTTGCATTTTGCAAACAAAAATCTCTTTGAATGGAAAGGAATTCTTTACATGATAGTGCTCTCTATATATGTATGCAGCTCTGAGTTTTGCAAGCTTAAGATGAGTAACTAAAACGTTTAGAATCAATGTTTCCTGTACTGCGCACCACTTTAAAAGGTATTAACAAGTCTAAAGTGTATCCCTTGGTTATAGAATACAGTCGTTGTGAAGAGATGTCTGTCTATCTACTGGTATTTTCATTTACCGGATAAAATCAAACTGTTTCAGTTGAGAGAGAAAATAATGTTGTTCACAGTAAGTTACTCTTGTAACAGAAATTCTAGCACAAACAGTGTTGGCCTTTTTTGTCTTCAGAATGATTGAGGAGAGTGGGAAGAGGAGGAGGACAATGGCAGAGAAGAGACAGCTGTTCATGGAAATGAGTAAGTATGAGATTTGAAGACATAATGTCATTTATTCTTCACTGGGAGCTTTGCTTTGATAGTTTTACCAGATCATTTACATCTTGTTTCCACAAGCCCATTGCCTCATCTAGTGAAAAGCATCCTGGGTGCTGGTCAGGAGGAGAATACGAGTAGGTCACAATTGCCTGAAAGGTCATTCATTTCTAGGTTTTGTGAAGCTCCTTTTTTAAGGAACATTCACATTTCTCATACATGGCAATATCTAAAGTTTGTGGACAACTAGTAAAATAAATAATGACAAGAGACAGGTTACCTTTTAGCTTAAAAAAAACCAACTTTTTTTTTGAATTACACCACAATGCTAGTGTGACTCAGAAGAGAAACGGTTTGAGGGGCTTAAGGGACTGGTTTTTGTACAGGACCATTCTCTGAAAGAGGGGTTGTAATTGTTACTAGAAATCAAATGCCTGTCCAGAGATAATATTTAAAGGAATGATACATAGCCTTTAAAAAAATTATATGCAGTTTGAAATAAAAGATTGTGTATTTGCATGTCATCATGTTATTTTACTTTCCTCTGGGGACACAGGACTGAATGAAATGCCTAGATCAGGCAAGCATGTCCTGTAATTCCATTTATAGGCTGATGAAGACCTGTCTCAAAACAATAGTTTATTTGTGCTATTTTGTTGAAGGGATTCCAGAGTAACATTCTTACTGTGGTTATAAGCATCTTATAAGTTCAGGAACAGTTTCATTCCTGGGTAATTTATATCTGCTTCCTCTCGTGCCTTGGATAGTATTTCTCTACACCTTCCCGGCTTGCTTTGCGTTTGAGTTTATAGTCACGTCCCTTTTGGCTTGTTCAACATATGGCGCAAGCGAACTCCTGCGGTCTCCCTGCTGTACACCTCATCTCCTGCTGTTCTCTGCCTCTGTTCAGTTTTAGTTGAGCGAAGGTGACTGAATTGTGGGTGATATCCTGGATGAAATCTCATTAGAACCTTTTAAAATGACAATAGTACTTCTCCACTAGAACTGCTTTGACTGCTATATCAGAGTATTACATTTGTCTCCTGACTTTAAAGTGCTGTAGTCATCTTGTGATCATTTTGTGCAGAAATTGTCTTGCTAGTTTTTAGCTTTGACTGAATGGTTAAAAATACTCAGATTTCTTCTGACTGTCTGCATACAAGGTGTCACTTTTTGAGGCTGTGGTTCTGGCTGTTCATTATCAGTGAAAGTGCCGGTGTACAGACATTCTGAACTGCCTTTCTCTGTAAGGCGCTCTAGCATAGTAGTATAAGAAATCTGAGGTCCTCAAGCTTCACCTGTCCTCTGGTGGAGTATTTCACTGTAAAGCAAACACATAAATGTTTTCCTTTCTAGGTGAGCTGCATACACAGAGTAGATATGCAATGTGTAAAATTTATGCTTTCAGTGACCATTTGTTGTTGGTCAACATACAAATTTGCTGAAGTGTTTAGATAATTGCTCATGTGAGAAAAGAGGAGACCTTGGCATTCACCTGCACTGGACATGCTACCCAAGGATGTTTGTGTTGGTTTTGTAGTACTTGGGGAGCTGTCTGACAGACAAGAATTCTGTGCAAGCTATTCTGATTTCTCTGAACTGCAGAATACATAGGGAGTTTATCTTATGGAAGAGTATGAAGAAGATGGAGCCAGACTTTTCTCAGCCCAGTGGCAGGGTCCAAGGCAACAGGTGTTAAAGAAATCTCTTTACCCTAGATCTCCCATAGCAGAGTCTCAGACGTCTGATCTTAGAAAAATAATTTATTTGGATGGTACAGCAGAATGAGAGCTCAGGCTGGGTGCCTCCGGGGAGGGACCTTGAAACAAAGAAAGCCTGGACTTTTAAACCCTTACAATCTATATACCTCTTCTCCATGCGCCCTTCATGTGCCTTTTGGCCCAGTGCTCAGTCTCTTCATGTGCTGTTCACGCACCTCTTGGTCCAATGGTAATGTGTGATCTGTGGGCTCGATTGTTTCCCTTTGGTTCTCGGCCTCCGGACTCCTGACAGACCATTTGTTGTCCTTATCTGGATGGTTTGCAGCTTCTGCTGATGAAGTTTCCTCCTTATCTTCTTCAAGGTCCCCCCATAGCCAAGCAGCCAGGTCAGGATGAGTTTATGATACGCAACCTGGAATTCCTTCTCCTGCTAACTAATGCTAAGTGAAGTTATTCAGACAAAAGAATACATTTAAAAGAATAGAGTATAATTAAAAAGTTAGATTGATTCAAGTTATTCTGTGACAATGGGCACAAACTGAAACACAGCAAATTCCATCTGAATGTGAGGTAAAAAAACATTTTTACTGTGAGGGTGGGTGAGCACTGGGAGAGCTTGCCAAGTGAAGTTCTGGAGTCTCCATCCTTGCAGATATTCAAAACTTGGCTGAATACAGTCTTGGGCAAATTGCTGTGGCTGCCCCTGTTGAGCAGGGAGGTTGGACTAGGTGTTCTCCAGCAGCCCCTTCCAGCCTCAACTGTTCTGTGCTTCTGAGCTGTATAGATTGTCTTGAAAACACATCCCATTTTATCTTCAGGTAGTTCGGAAGAATGAACTTGTTGAAGCTTTTGTGGTAATGTGGCACAGGAAGATAAGAACAGAAAATGGACGCCTTTTTGTTTTTGCATGTAGCTGTTAAATGACCTTTATATAGATATATTAAAAATATACATACAAGTATATTGTAGATACATTTATATACATATATTTTATGTAGACAAAGCATTTTGTGAAGACTCAGCCTGTGAAAGTGCTTTCTGTGGTTTGAAACATATGCATCCTAATTGAGAGTTTTGATATGAAAGTATGCACCCTAACTGAGAGTTTTGAAAGAATATTGCATAGAAAATACAAAGTTAACTATTTTGTTGTAGCCTTGGATCTGAATACTCCAGCTTAAGTTACCTGGCCAAGCACTTTCCTGAAATATATCAGAGACTAGTTTTCTAAAGATGATAGTGTGAAATAATCCACTCAAATTTGTTGCGCCATCCAATGAAGCAGAATGCTCCTCAGATGTTGGCTAGTCTAGTGCCATGCTGAGGTGAGCTGTCCTGGGGGACCTTGGACTGGGAAATCAGTCAGCCTCCTCACTGGGCTTACAAGAACCTGTCCACCTCCTGTTCTACACCAGTGATGAAGGGAAACGATCCTTGCGTGTCACTTCCAAGACCAAGCAGATGCTTTGGCCTGTGTACAGCTGCTTTGGCATTGTATTTGCAAAATTGTAGTGTAATATTTAAAAGACAAGATCTTAAGTTTGCAACTGTGAGTCAGTGGGTATATACACAAAGGGAATTCAAATGAGGTATTTGCAAGTTGGTTTCTGAATTCGGAATGTAGGAGGGAGTAATTTATCACCTTTGAGCAAGATTCCTTGATACAGCAATTGGATACCTTCTTCAGGAGGATGTGAGATTTTTTGGTTTTGTTTTTAAGTATCTTTTAGAAGTCTGGATTCTGTAAGTCAGTTATCCCTGTTTCTCAGTTCTCTATTCATCTAGGCTCTGGCTTTTGAGAGAAGTATGGAAGACTGCAGCAGATCCTGCATTTACGCACTCCCGTGAGAATACCAAAGGCACAGGAGCCATGTGTATCCATGCCATTGCTCACGTGCGACTGGGTTGTTTCAGACCACACCTTAGAACTATATCGATTGTAGGACATAGCTGCTAATGCTGTTGAAATGTGAGCCATTTAAAAGGCATTTTGGTTTATGATTAATGCGATTTTCAAGACTTGCTGGCTGCTTCCAAATTTAAGTCCAGTATTGATCATTTTAAAACAGTATTGTTTATTGTCCCCATATCATTTATCATCTCATTTGATCAGGACAGGAGGTACACAGGTCTGTTTGGCAGAGTGTTAACACAGCTTTCTGAAATTGCCCAGGTTTGTAATGTTCAGAGTAATGCTGGAACTGGTAGATGTGGTACAGTCTAGTGATAGATAATAGCATTCAAATCTTTTGTGTTGCAGTATTGTTTGAAGGTAGAACACTTACACGTCTAGAAGTGGGAGGTTGTTGGTGAAGATAAGATTTTTTTTTCCTATGCTTTTTCTTCTGCTTCTTACCTGGTTTGGATCCGTCTCAGAGACCAAAAACATGCTTCTGATGGGGCTGCAATGCAGATGGTGGTAGGAGTACCAACCGCCCTCTTTCTTTGTCTCTTATCTTTTGTGTGCATGTCTTCCAACATCTGTGCAGTCCTCTTACCCACTCACCACTTAATTCTTGCTTCCTTTTAAGATACTCATATCAGTCTCAAACTTGGGTCAGTTTATAATACACTGCTGAAAGTTACTTTACCATGAGATACTTAATGAAGCTCATACCATTTTTGAAGTAATTCTCTAGGATAAGCTGAATGTTATAGAGGAAAGAAAAACACAAACTTTTTTTTTATTCATAGGAGCACAGAATTTTGATGTCATCAGACTTTCAACGTATCGAACAGCCTGTAAACTGCGGTTTGTACAAAAAAGATGTAATCGTAAGTTATAATTGCTCTTTATCTTAAAAAAATTTCTTATGCATGATTGTTTTGAATATTCTACCCATGTGAATTTTAAATGCAGCAAGAGTAAGCAAACATTTTATCAGGCAACAGTAGCTGTTACTTAAACTAAACAGAGATTAAAGAGATAATTAAAAAGAGGCAGCAATCTTTGTCCAATACTCTATAATATCTTCAGTTTTATTCTTTAATGTTTCAAAAATTTAAAACCTATGGGCCAGCTTGACATACTTCAGTTGCCTGAAGTGTTGGATGCAGGCAGTCTCAAGCTGTTTGAGCTCCTGTTCCATCATGGTGTGCCACAAACCACCTGACAACTAGGCACAGGTATGAGTTTGGTGATGCATAATACAGTCACTAGCCTGAAAGTGACTGGATCTGATCATGGTGGCATATATGAACATAAAGAATTCTTTAAGTTTATACCATACTAGTCAGTGTAAGTTTTCTCGATCTCTTCTGTGGTCATTTGACCTGGGATAGCTCACCAAAGCAAAGATTAATCCAAGGGCGAATAGGTGATACTACTTTGCATTCTGCTACCAGTTTTGAATTGGACAAAGCAAAAAGTGGAGCAGCCTAACGTACGCAAGAACGGGTGCTTCCTTCCAGTGGAGTGGAATTAGTGTGCGTCTGGTGTGGAAGAGGACAGGAGAACAGCTGAGGAGCCCTGTAGAGAGCATGTGCATCTGCACACTGCAAATTGTAGCTCCTTGATAGCGCAGCTGACCCCGGGATGTGTGTCTCTTGGGGCTCTCGTGGCACTACCTGCAGTGCCTTTAGTTTGATGAATGGCTTACAGCTTTTTCATTCCTGTGGAAAAGTGTTAGTTCTTGTCTGTAATTCATGCTTTTGAATTAAAAATCTCTCTTAATCAGTAGAGGTATTAAGAATTGGTAATTACAGTACATTGCACACTTTGGGCCCGGATCACTGGTGCTATGCATATGCCTTGAGTAACCTTTCCCATACGTGTATGTATAGATGAGGCTGTGCGTTTCTGATCTTTGTCTGGACCACAGGGTGATCCAGGGGCATATGCTTGGTGTGAACATGTAGCTTGGCTTTTATCATTGTGTGGTTTTTAAGTGAGAAGTATAAAGAGGAGTTTTATGTAAGAAATGTTGAACATCACATTCTTACTTCAGACTTTCTTATTAGTTAAGGAAGATAACAAAAGTTGTGAAGTTAGCAAATAAGTGTCCTTTGTAATGGTTGGATCACATTCAGTTTGGACTGAGGGTTACTGTTGATCCTTAGATGTCTTCTCCCACTATCGTGCATACCTTTCAAGCTTTGAAACGTTTTAAAATATTATTTAATGTGGTTCTGCAGATCACTTACTGTGGTTTTGGAAAACTCTTTCTCTACGTTGTTAACACTTCTTAGATATGCACTAAGATATGGCAGGGTAATTTAGGGGAACGCTTTGGAGTTCTAGGCCTGTGTTCACAAAGTATTATGCTCTGGACTTGGCAGCTGGATCAACTGGAAACAGTCGTAGTTTAACTGGAACATCAAGTTCCTCCTTCAATACTCAACTACTAGTCAGCATGAGAGTGTTCAAAATTATTGTAACCAATTTGTAGTGGATTTAGAATATGGCTGATATCTTTCTCAAATGAAAATACCTAACTCTGCTAAAATGCACTGCATGATGATGGAAGGTCGCTTTTCTCCTTTATGCTGTTTTTCTGTCAGAGCACCCAGATGTTGAACGGTGGAATAAAAGGCACACAAGATGTCTGGGCACTGCTTTGTTACTTTAAACTGGCTGACAGGAACTATGAGTATGAATATCAACAGTCTGTCTCTCACTTTGAATACAAATAAATAACTGTTCATTCCAAAATAAAAGCTAACATAGCGTTCAGAAACAGTACCATAAAATTAAGCTTGCGTGCATTACAGAATAGAAGTTAATTTTTTTTCCTTTATTTTTAGTTCATCTTGTTGATATCTGGAATATGATTGAAGCCTTCCGAGATAATGGCCTTAACACTTTGGATCATAACACAGAGATCAACGTGTCTCGACTAGAAACAATCATTTCATCCATCTACTACCAGCTAAACAAACGCCTTCCTTCTACTCACCAAATCAGTGTAGAGCAATCCATCAGCCTCCTCCTCAACTTCATGATAGCAGCATATGACAGGCTAGTAACTCCTCTAGTTGTATTCTTAAACTAATTTTCTCTTTTAGTTAGATGAATGCAGCCAACAACTGCATGAGTCTCTGGCAAACTGTCCGCATGCTATTTCTGAAATTGTGTGTTGCACATACACACACATATATTTAATATCATAGTAGTGCCTGCAGAGATTTACATTGCCACAGCAGCAATGCTTTGTCTTAAAAATTGCTTTCTTAAGAAGGATGAGTTAGTCCCTTCTGGAACTTGCCGACTGCTGTAAGCCATGTATCTGAATTGAAGATGAAGTGAAACTGTGTTCTGCAGACTGTGATAGAGCATAATGTTAACCTAATGGTGGTATAGCACTGTTTTAAAAAGTGAAAGTGTTTTACTGAATCTTGATCAACAAGACCATTTTATAATGCTACCTTGTTTTGACAGTCACCTTGCATCCCATTCTAACATGCTGTGACCCCATAAAGGCTAATTCTCATTTCCTGGCTGGAAGAAGCTTTATTTCTTGTTCAGGGTACTGTCTAGGCATTTCCTTGTGTCCAGTTTTATGAGTTTCTTTCACAGCCTCTTTCTTCAGGATTTGGTCTCCTAATCTTCTTGAGTAGATGTGCCTCTGTGGGTTCTCTGAATAGCAACTGCAGATCTTTTACTGTTGTTTAGAACTTCTTTTTGCCTTATCTTTCTCAGAGTCAGCTATTATTTCAGTCTTACCTTCCTTCTGCATTTGCCCTCTCTCCTAGCAGTAGAGAACTGCTTGCAGCCAGGACGCTGTCAGAGACTGAGGAGTTTTACCCAAGACAATCTGCAAGCAGTGAATATGCCAAATAGTTGTTCTGTTTGTAATGTCCAGACTTTGATCCTTTCCCAATGTGATTTCTTCTTATTGTCACCAAACAGAAGCTAGGTTTCCCCTTCTCAAAAAGTCCAAGACTTCAGAACAATTGCTGTCTCACTAAGGACAGATAAAACCAACATAGAGCTCAGAGCAGGAAGACTGCTATGACAACAGAATCAAATGTGTATTTTTCTGTTTAGTTCTGATTTGGTATTAGTTGTGAGACAAGCTGTGAGGGATAGCTGATGGTTTTAGTTATTCTGAGACAGATCACACTAGAAAATAGAGAATTTAAAAACAGAAATGGTCATGTTTTGGGGAGCTGGCTCAAAAGATTGAGGCTTTGGTTAGAGATATGTTTTTCTCGCCCACTGCCCCCAGCCCTGCAAGTTCTGCCTCTTCTGGAACCCAAGCATCATACTTGATCCCAGCAGTGTCCAACAGCTTCTCTTTAGCTTCCTCTATCTGGCACATGGAATTGAGAGAGAAGCTGGGATGCTGTGCTGCATTGTGCAGTGGGAAGAGCAAAGAATGAGAAGAGAGGCAGGGATGAGGCTCGCTCTCCAGGAGTTCATCAACATGGCAGACATTTATTTTTTTTAAAAAAGTACACATCTGCACTGGAATTGCATCATTGGGGTAGCTGTGTGGTTGCTTCAATGCACATAGTGCAGTAGCTTCTTACAACGTGGTGCTGGTGGTAACATCACAGTGTCATTAGCATTCCACCAAACAGGAACAGGAATCAAAGATGTGACTAACGTCTTCCCCATGGAAATATTTAAGTTAGAGCTTATGTTAGGTAAGTATGAAAAACACTCACAATGAATGCTTCACTGGGACCCATAGAACAACACTGATCGTGGTGCAGACACAATGGCTCACGCTGCATTGGTGGTGAGTTGTGAGGAGGAACGACTGTGGTGTGATGTTCTTCGCTGCTTTCTTCCACAGAACTTTGCATGAGCGTTTGACAGTTTGTTCCTGGTCTATTTTTCCCATAACCTGTCATGGCTTTCCAAAGTACCCCACCTGTTCATTACTGGCACCCCAGAGTAACAGCTCATTCCCTGACCCCATTTAACTGTGAGCAGTCAGTTTCTTATTTCATGATTTCTAGTAATCGCATTTAATTTGACAGTGGGTTTAGTTGCTCCAACTTCTTTTTTTCTTTTTAAACTGTAGGTATCAAACCACACTGTATGCTGGTAATAAAGCAGTGTGCAATAAGGGGGAGGGAGAGGATGACCAACAAACAAGTGAGGAAGTGAGTTGGTGAGCAAAGTGTGATGTGATCAGGAGGAACCTCATAACCAGCACAGCAGAGCTGGAAGGGGCTCACTTCAAGCATATGCATATACGTAAGGAAATGCCTGCAGATCAGTGTTATGCAGAAAGCTCTCATGCCTTTTCTGGGAAATGAGCGTGACTGGGCGCCTCTCTGAAGTGGCTGTATGCTATTGGGTGCCGCATGGGGAGCAAACAGGAGGGATGAGAGGTCCGATTCCTCTAGGGAGGATTCAGTGAGAGAGCTGACACAACCGGAGTGCTGCACTCTGTTCTTTAGGAGGGACGGACAAGGAGCGGGAGTTGCCCTTTACGTGAGAGCGCGGCTGGAGTGCATGGAGCTCTGCCTGGGGACGGATGATGAGTCAGCTGGGAGGTTGAGTCAAGCTTAGTGGGCAGACTGACATGGACATCATTGCTGTGGGCGTCTGCCGCAGACCGCCTGGTTAGGAAGATGTAGAGGATGAGGCTTTCTTCAGACAACTGGAAGGAACCTCATGTACATAGGTCCACTCTTTTTTAAACAAGTCCCCTGGTTCTGTTTCCAGTCCTGAGAACTCCTGGTTGTTACAGAAGTTTCAAAATCATACTGAAAGTTTTGCCCTTTTTTTGTTTTGATAGGGAATTCAGCAGATTGAACAGCATTGGTACAAAACTCAATTTTGATGTCAAGTTGCTTAATAACTACACCTCTACCAGATTGCAGGTGGAGGAGTTCTGGGTTTTGTCTTGGATTAATAAACTAAACAGAATGTCAGCAGAAGCAGGCCTAATATCTGAAGGCATCATAAGGTACTTTGCAAGGATAAGTTTGTGTCCTGTGAGGAGATATTGATGGCTTTAGTCACTTGTTTTTTCTGGAAATTAATTAAAAACTGAACTCTCTTTTGAGAGAAAATGAATGTCTATTAAAAAGGGGGAGAGGGGCTGAGACTATAACTTAAGGAGATTTGAATTAGCTAGTAAGATTTGCTCAGGTAAGAGTGGAGGTCAAGGCTTGAAGAGGGTGAACTCTTCAGACAACCAATTTCAGATGTAGTCAAGTCTTTATTTTTTTTTTCTACACACAAGTGTAGAAATAAGTAGGAGTAAGTGCCAACTTATTCCTTTGAGAAAGCTATTTAAGAGAAAAGACAGAAACAAAATAGGATAATTGAGATCTTTACCTTGTTGTTAACTTTATAGTCTTCATATAGCTTGAAATAAATATCTAATGTGTTTAGTTTTCTCCCTTTGTTTAGTTTCTTCAAACAGCGGTTAAAAGGGTGCTGGATATCAGCAAAGTGATGGCCTTTGAATCGCCATTCCTCTTCACGCATCTTCCTGCAGTTGTAGCTCTAGGAGAGATTGCCTGTCTTCTGTAGAGGGAATGTTTGAAAGATACTCTGAGTCTGTTAGAGAAGTAGCATACCATATTTCGGGTACTTCTCAGCCTGAGAAAGGTTGAGAGCCCTTACCTCACCACGGAGTGTGAAATGTTACCAGAAGATAATATTTGCATATTAACTCTGAATGTAAAAGGGGAAAAAGGGTTATTTAGTTAGTTCCTGATGTCTCCATATGGTTGCACGTCTGTCATTGACATTAGACCTTGTCACTACTTCAATACCATGAGCCAATATTTACTTTGAATAATTCTACTCTTAACACTTTCCAAGTACCAGTTGTTCTAGTGCAAATAGTAAATATGTATCTTATTACCACTGAGAAGTATGCTAGAGTTTTTCTAGAGCTCTTCCAATATTCATCATGTATTTTCCCCATCATCGTATTTTCTGTGATAGTACAATTATCTGTCCAATACATTTAATTAGTTACTTGAACTTATTTTAATTCTTTTTCTCATTTTATATGTGACTTCAGCTTTCTTGGTGGTTTATCAGTGTGTACCACTGTTGCTGTTTATAGTTAAGGAAAATAACTCAGTATATTTGTTTGGAATTCTGAGCAATTTATTGCCAACAGCTTTTACCCACATTTACACACATTTCTTTTGCCCTGTGCACCACTAAACCAACCTTCAACCAACTTCACAGTAACAGTGGATTTACACAGAGATTGCCGCACTGTGGCCATCTTAATATTATATATTGGAGATTCTCTGACTCCTGTCTTTATTACTATGAAAGAGAGAGAAAGTCGGGAGACAGGGAGGTGGGATGCATGCCCTCTGGGCCAGCACTAAGCTGGGAGAAACTGTTACTGGTATCAGCTGTGCTGTGCTTTAACTCAGCAAGCTGCCTTCTGTGTTTCTGGTGACTTAATTCCCTCATCATTTCATCCTTATCTTTCTTTCTGCTAACAGGAATAATACACATTGCTGTTTCTACATGTTGTACCATGCTGGATGGGCTGCTTCATACTTTCCATGGAGACCAATCAATTTTCTCTTGCTGATGCTAGAAGGCGATTCTGCAAATATGCTATCAGTTCTGATAGCACATCAGCTTTATTAACTTAACTTAGAATAAAATGTTGTTCACATTATTCCTGTTCTATGTGGTGTATTCAGGATATCGGACAAATTCTCCATTAGCTATCAATTACTGTACTGTTCTTAGAATGAAATGTGTATTTGAACATCAGAGCTTAAATCAAGGAGTAAAAGTTTAAAGCAACTAACAAAGGGTAGCAGAGGAAAAAATGAAATGTTTTACAGGGAACAAACGTATTTTAATGAAAAAAAATAACATGATCTTTTTTTTAATAGGACAGTTATGGGATGAACAAGACAAATAGCAGTCTCTTTATCCGTGCTTTTTTCATAATTCTGCAAGAAAATTTGATTGTGACTAGATGTTTGTTAATTCTTCCAATATATTAAAAATGATAGTGTTATCACTGTTTTAATGTTATATTAAATAGTTTTGACAGATATTAGTAGTTAGTGGAAGTCATTTATGCATTTCCTTCCTAGGCTTCAAGTAATTCTGTTAGTTGTCATGTTATGTAGTAATTACTTACCATGTTGGGTTTTTTTCACAGTGAGGGCCGTGGGAAGTTGACGGTATTTTCAGTGAAAGCTATGTTAGCAACAATGTGTGGCGGTAAAATACTGGACAAACTAAGATGTAAGTATTTTCAAGCAAATCAAACCATTTAATGAAATACTTTGTTTCTGTTACTGGCCACATATGTTTTATTGTATTAAGTTCTGAAAGCTAACTTTTTTGCTTATTTAGTGATCTTTCTACTGAAATGAGGCTTGCTATATTAATGTTTTTGTTGCACATGCCATCTGCTGGCCATGAACCATATGGAGTTTGTCACTGAGTAGGCTACACAAGTCCATTTGTTCATTTTGAAATGCTTGGGCACTTCTTTAAATGTAAAACTTCAGGTCTGATTTTTCTAGTCATGTCTAGTAGTAATGTTAAATTTGTTGCCATTTCCCCTGTTTTGAGGATTTTGGCGGACTTCTGTATATCTTCCACTTCATCTGAGGTGTTCTCTGCATCTTCTTGTTCCGTAACTCCAACTTCTCAGTTCTTACTTTTTAACTTTTTTTATTCTCATCAATCTTACTTCCTTTTTTTTTCTTGTTTCCATGAGCCTTCTGCCATATCAGTAGAGAATCAGTGATATCCATAAACGCTGTTTTTGTCCTTTAGTAGTAATTCTTGTTGTTCTGTCTGTCTTAGTGGCAAGGTGTACTGTTGTTATGGGTATTTTGTCTTTTCATTTCCACCCTGAAAAGCTGGGAAGTTAATCTTACTGTCAGTGCCAGATTTTACTGTTCAGGTCTTGTAATTTTTACCTCACCCTAAATAGCTTTATTGAAAGCTGTCTTGTAATAATTCACTCCTCCTAATCTCCATGGTTGTCATTCACTGTAAATAATTCTTTAGACTTTTCTACATCATTAAGCCTTCTTTATTATATTTGCTTTAAAACTAGCAACATGAAATACAAGTCTGCTGAATTAAACTACATGACAAGGTCTGGAAAATAAATGGTGAGAAATCATTGCATGCAGGTATTTATATTAAGGCTGCACATGTTTCAGTGCCAGGAAATGCTGGTTTTTTATCTGGTAGTAACTATAAAAGTCTCTGATTAAAAACAAAGCTGCAGGTGACTAAAGATTAGTGTTAATGGGGACAGGCGTATACGATGAGGATATGTAAGACTTCTTAAGCATCTTTAAGAAGTGCATTACCTCTATAAAACATGCAAGATCAAATACTGGGAGAAAAAGATAGAGACTGTATCTCCTCAGTAAAAGATTACATTTTGGATTTAATTGGGATAAGATGTGAGGAGGGTACGGTAGATAAGCAGTTCAGCACAGGCCTGGGACAGCAAAGGAGCATTATTTCTAGAATTAGCAAGACAATACTGAAGCCCATCAAGAAAATGGCAATGTGACCTTTTAGTGGAAAAGGCAATTAACTACTGAAATGAAATGTTATAGGAATCAGTAAAATTTTGATGTTTTCAGACAAAGACCCAGATAACTTCCAGAATGTTATATTAAGCCTCAAGTTATTGATTCAAAAGATGGCTAGTTAAGATGCTTTCACCTTAAGGACACCTCATTTAAGAGTCCTATTTAACAGGTGTGTCTAGTCTTAAAACTTAGAATTTATGCTTTTAATGTACTGTTCTCTCTCTCTGTCTTTTCATAACGTCTGCTTTTCTTCATAGCTTCCTTTTTTTTTCCTCATTCTGTTGGCTTCCGTTTCATTTGCCACGGTAACTTTCTTCATTATAAAAATTCTTAGCTGATGTTCATACACATTGGAGGAAAGGCCTTTGACTACTTTCACTAAATAGTTCTGCTTATAGCTTTGTTATATTCTGGTTGTCAAGCCTTTTACTTTTTCTTGTTATCTTTTGAGCTGACCTTTAGATTGCATTATAGTTCTGGGATCTTTCCTCCAGTATCTGCCGTCCCTTTTTTCTTGGTCCACTTTTTGGACATGGAGCGTCATTTTCAAAGAGCACATGACTTTGTATTTGATATGTTTGGACAGTAGTGCTTCTGGGTTTTTTTAATTCAGTGTTAAAACCCAGTTCCTCTCCTTGCCTTTTCAGTATGTTGTTCACACTGACTTCCCACCATTTGATGTTTCTGGACTAGTTCTTGTGACAGAGTACTAACTGTTGAGCACACCTATTTAAAACCTGGTTTTGGTGAGGGTTTTTTTTTGTTGCTGTTCTGTCAGGTATAATATCTTACGAGTTAACTGAGAAAGAAAAGTTTCTTTATCTGTAACAGTAATACTGATTTACCACTGCTTTGTATGGTCATGGCACTTTCTTTGCATGCCCCATCTGCTGTGGACACTCCCCTGTCACTTCTGGGTACTCCTCTGTCCCCTCAGGCACTTCTTGTTGTTTCTGCTTAGTTGGAGAGAAAGTTAAAGGCTGCACGCACCTCACTCTTACTCTCTAAAATGCTGACAGTGCCATGTGCAAGGTTAGATACAGAGGCAGAGTCTCTGCACATGGTTAACAAGGTTGTCCAAGAAAAGGGGATTTTGGCTAATTTAGAATCGAGATTTTAGGACTATAGGAAATCTGTGCAGGAGGGAAAAGCTTTCTCTAAACTAGGATAGAATTAGGCTGTTGACTTTTCAGAAAAGGTCATAGGACAGCTTTCTGTGGAATATGGGAGAAAATCTGAGATTCAGGATAGTAGGTTCTTGTAAATCTTCTGAGGGCAGAGGAGAAGAGAGGAAGTGTGTTGTATTGTTAGCGGAAGTGTCTGAGTATCACCAGAACTCAAAAAAGAAAGTAATAAAATAGCTGAACTATGAACTGTTGGTTACCTGCCTTTCTGAAAACTTTCTAAGGGACAAGGGAATGGGAAGAAGAAAATGTTATGTGAAGTTTGGGAGGTGAGATGTGTGGATCCACAAGCCCTTATACCTGGCACGTGTTCTGGGCAAACTGCTGGTAATAAAGAATAGAATTTGTTAATGCATGGATAAATGAGATTTTATTGTTGAGGGAAATGGTTTTTTTTTTGTGAAGGGATGCCTTATAAAACCACAGAAGTTTATTAAAGGAGGCAAAAAAAAAAGATGGACAAAGGAGTTCTGGCTGATACAGACTTCTTGGATTTATGAAAGGCACTCAAGAAGGTCCCTTAACAAATGCTTAAAGACATTAAGTTCGATGAAATGGATGAAAGTTGGGGTCTTTGCAGGTAGAAGATTGGCTGAAAGGAACCAAAAGAGAGCAATAAAGAACTTTTTTGTATATTGAGATTGGTGGATAGTGCTGACCTAAACTGGTTTTAACACTGTCATAAATGATCTGGAAAAATACAATGAAAGGTGACAATTTGGTACAAAGTAAATCAGTGTAGTAAGAGCAAAAATAGACTGAAGAGTTGTAGTGTCATCTGACGACACTGAGTAACTGTGAAATAAAATGGTAGGTGAAATTCAGTGTGAATGTATGTAAAGCGTTGCATGTTGGAGGAGTGAAGTGTAATCCTAATGTGATGCACAGAAAGGTGAGCTGAGAAAGTTGTTGCTCATATGAGAGATTTTGGAGCTATACTTCTGTGAAGATGTTGATGCTCTGTTTAGTAATGGCTAAAACCATATGAAATGTTACAGAGGGGAAGGATGTGAACAACAAAGTGGAGAGGTAAAGGCACTGTATAAATCCATGGTGTCTTTATGCTTTGAACGAGTGCTGCTCTAGTACCCCTGTCTAGTACTCTGCCCTTTCCAGTTCTGATACTGAGCCAGCAGTGTGCCCAGGTGGCCAAGAAGGCCAACAGCATCCTAGCCTGTATCAGCAATAGTGTGGCCAGCAGGACGGGGGCAGGGATCGTCCCCCTGTACTCGGCACTGGTGAGGCTGCACCTCAAGTGCTGTGTTGAGTTTTGGGCCCCTCACCACCAGAAGGACATTGAGGTGCTGAAGTGAGTCCAGAGAAGGGCAACAAAGCTGGTGAAGTGTCTGGAGAACAGGTGTTATGAGGAGCGGCTGAGGGAGCTGGGGGGGTTTAGTCTGGACAATAGAAGGCTGACGGGAGACCTGATTGTCCTCTACGACTACCTGAAAGGAGGATGTAGCCAGGTGGGGGTCGGTCTCTTTTCCCAAGTAACTAGTGAGAGGACAAGAGGAAACGGTCTCAAGGTGTGCCGGGGAGGTTCAGGTTGGATATTAGGAAGAATTTATTCGCTGTAAGAGTCGTTAAGCATTGGAACAGGCTGCCCAGGGAGGTGGTGGAGTCACCATCCCTGGAGGTGTTCAAAAAACGTTTAGACGTGGCACTTCAAGACATGGTTTAGTGGGTTTAGTGGGCGTGGTGACACTGGGTAGACGGTTGATGATCTTTGAGGTCTGTTCCAACCATAACGATTCTGTGATCTTTTCTGAGAAGAACAGCAGGGATGATCAAAGGTAGAGAAAGCTTTCTATACAAAGAACAACTAGATAGAGTAGGATTCTTCAACCTGGAAAGAAAAAATGGTGGTGAAAGAATACTGTTCTATAAAATCATGAGCAATGTGTTAGTGGTGAATAGAAAACAGCTGTTCCTTTCCCTTTCCAGCACAAGAACTAAAGGGCAGTAACTGAAATTAGCAGTGACAGATTGAAAAAACAAAAAAACAATACTTCTTTAAACTTTACCAAAGGATGTAGTTGATATCAAACATTTACACCACTTGATTACTCCTAGAACCAATTTCACTGAAGGCAAATTCAGCAAAGGTTGCTGTATGCAAAGATACTCGCGGTGAGTGGAGGAACGTTCTGGGGAATGTGCTTGCCTGAGCCATCTGCTGTTGGGATAAACAAACTTTTCATCTGCTCTGCCTCAGCTGTTCTCATTCTTTATTTCTTCTTCTGATCATTAGGGATATACTGTCCTGTTTTTTCCCTTTCCTGTCTTTCCCACCTGTCTCTGATTACTGACCCATTTCATCACCAAACTACTTCTGTTTCCAGCTTACTTGTTCCCCTGATTCCACCCCTACTCCTGCATTGCTTCCCCTCCCTGTCCTGAGCAGGCTCTCAGCTCTGGCTCAACTGGAACGCGAGGCTTTCAGGAAATCCTGGAAGCTGTACATTATTTTTTTCTCATATCATAATTTATATGAATG